GATCGAGAACTATACTCCCTTGAGCTCATGTAATGATAGGGAGCATGGTTGTGCACACATGTGTTGCCAATACTTTGCCATGCCCCTTTCTTGCCCTCTGTTGCAGAAAGCTAGAAACCAGCAGCAAAAACTGGTCGGCCGACCAGATAAAGTGGTAGGCTGACCACTTTTTTTGGTTTTCACCACAAAAAGTGGTCGGCAGGTGGTCTCCAAAGCCAATAACTGGTCGGCAACCTTCTCACAGATTCCCAAGGTGGAGTTTCATCTCTCTGGAGCTTTGTGCAGTGTTCTGAGGTCAATTGCAAATAGAGGCAAGTCGGGGCGTAACGAGGGATTTCCGAACAAGGCAATTCAAGCATGCATGCATCCTTTGTCATTCAAAGTAGAGCTGGGGCAGCCTACATTCATTTAGTTTGCATGCTCATTTAGATTGCTTACTTAGTTAATGTTGTGTAATAAGTAGTTGTAACTTGTTATTCATTTCGTCGTGTAATAACTAGTTTAATTAGATTAGCTTAGATTAGCTAGCTGGTTCTGTTTTATTTATTCGGACCCTCCTCCGAGAGGACAATGTTGTAAATAAGTGTGCTTGTGTGTGATGCATGTCTTCCAACCCCCATTTCTTTCTCCCTTTTATTTACCAGTTTACGATGGTTAGTTTTAGGGCATGTCTCAATTAAGCATCCTCATGCTCGCATGTTTGCATCCATTCATCTGTCTTGCATGCACTGGGCTCGGCGCATCATACTAACTGCATTGTATTTCAATTCCTATTTGAATACATGTATCAAATTGCATTTCACATGACATTTTAGAATAGCCGACCCTATCTTAGTTGCATTTTGCATGTGTTGCATTAGGCATCCTTGACATAGCTAGGATCATGCATTGATTTCTAACATAGCTTTTGTTTTGACTTGGAGTACTCGGTAAGTGTTTATGCTTTAGCATCCTTGCATGTGTGTGAGTGACTGCCATGATAGCATGCTTGCCATGAGACTAACAGCTTATGTGATATAATTGCCTAAATGCCTGTGGGTGAAGGTTGGATTACTTGAGTTGGAACAATTCATTGATTGCGAGTTTTAAGCCCACTTGAGAGTGGCAAAACACCATGTTTTCTAAGCCCACTTGAGGGTGGCTAAACCCTCATTTTAGCCTACTTGCGAGTAGCAAACCGCTTTCAAAAACAAACATGAGATGTTTTTGTTCCAACTTAGGCGATCCAATCTATACTTGTTTGTCGTGCGCATAACATAGTAATTCTAGGCTAATAACCGGAATAAGAATGCATGTGTTTTCAAAAACAAGATATCATGTTTAGTAGTGGCCGATCTTTGATCGGGCGAGCGGGGGTGCTCATTGCATGACCTTCCCCTCTCGTACCCAAGTTCCCGAGCCAAGGCAACTTTGGTGCTGACGGACACGTTGCCTTAGGCGCGAGTCAGGGTTTCCTAAATTTCCTAAAATAAAAACATTTAGGTGGCAACTCTATATCTGGCAAAGCAGTCCATGTTTGGCACTTCTTTCTAAAAATCAGTTTTTCAAAACAATTTGCCAGATTTCGACTCTTTGGTGATTTATCGGTCTTGCATTGCACTTTGTGAGATTAGATTCAGAACCGTGACATTGAGTCCGAACTGTAGTGAGCCCAATGGACAAAACAGGATTTCCCCGGGACGTTCGGACGCGTCTACATGAAGGTAGAATGGAAAGAACACTATGGGATGGATGCTACATGGGAAAAAGAGGTGAAATGCGACTACGCCAACCACGTTTGTTTCCTGACGAAGGTAAAATAAGTTTGGAGGATTAAACTTCCTAAAGGGGGGGAAGATTGTGATAACCCTGTTCTGTATTATGCTAATTGATCTTAATTATGATTGTGATTATGTATTTAATATGATTTTGAGTGCCATTTATATGAATATATGTGGTTTTGAATTTCTATTTGTTTACCGTAGGAAAATCTGTTTGATTTTTTGTTTAGAATTTAAATCGAAGGCCTTATCGGCCACAGAAACCGAAATTGACTACACCATTGTGATTGGCATAATTTTTAGAGCCTACGGTGAATTTAATTGAAAATTGATTCGGATCAGATTAATTAGATTAAATTGATTTAATGGTGCTCAATTAACTAGTGTTAATGAAACTAGATTAAGGGTGTGTATATAAGAGCTTAATTGCACTCAAGCTCATTACTTATGAGCTCAAAAATCTAAAAATCACACTCTAGAGAGAGAGGGCCGATTCTAGAGAGAGGAATAGGAAGAATTATGCATTTTGGCTCAAAGTTTGTGAATTTGGAAGCTTAACTCCAAGAACTAGCTAGAAATTGGGAGCTTGGAACTCCAAGGTGAGTATTTTAGCATTGATTCATTAGTTGAGGTTGTAATTTTGAGAATTTGATGTTAGATTGTAATCAAAAGTGTGAATTGAGTTGAATATGAAGTTAGAATGAACATGCATGCATAGAATTACCATGAATTTGTATAATCTAACATGTAGCATGTTAATTATGAAAAATTGAGTGTTGGATCATACATGCAAGCATGGTTTTGTTGAGCTTCATGTGTATAAACATCACTAGTTCCATTTGAAATGGAATTGGAGTAAAAAATTAACATGCATGCTTGATTCATGGAGATATGAAGCTTGTATGAGGTTTGAATGCATGGGTTTGATCATACAAGAGAAATGTTGATTAATTTGAGAATTAGATCATGATTTTGAACAATTAGCTTCATATTGGTTATGTTCGTTTGAGTGCCATTGAATTTTTTTCAAGTATTGATCTTGAGAAAGCCTATGATACGCTAAATGGGGAACTTCATTAAAAAAAACCCTTTTGGACCTTGATTTTTCTTAATATTGGGTTCATTCTTATAATGAACTGGGTGAGAGGACTGCAATATTCTCCTCTTTGAATTGGCCAAACCACTTCCTATTTTGACCATAGTAGAGGTTTAAGGCAGGGGAACCACCTATCCCCGTACCTCTGTCTTGTGCATGGACGGGTTATCGTGTTTGATTACTGTGAAAGTTTGGGTTTGGGTTTTGGTTTAGGCGCTTTATCTGATTTTTAATGTTTTGTCTTGGTGCTTTGGAGGATGTTCTGTGTAGCTATCTAAGGGCATTGTTGGTCCATGGTGTGGAACTTTCAAACTATGCTTTTGTTATGATGTGGTGGTGCATTTTAATTGCTATGTTTCCAGTTTTCCTCAAACGATTTTTGCTCACTGGCTGGACTTAAATTAGTTTGCATGTCTCGCATAATGTCCATAACAATAGAGTTAGAGGCCTTAGCACTAAGAGTAACATCCCCCTTAGCAAATACCTTAGGGTTCGTGTATCACTACAGAGTGAACAAAGCAATTTTAAGCTGCATCATTTAGAAAATTCGAAGTAAGCTCACCGGTTGTAAAAGTATTCTCATGTCCCTAGATGGGAAGACTACAATGATTAAGTTGTCACAACTAGGCCTGTCAACGGGTCGGGTTCGGGTCGGATCTATCGAAATCCGATCCGATCCGATTAACTATTAATCCGTATCCGAGTCCGAGTCCGATTATTAAAAATCCGATTACTTGCAATCTGATCCAATCCGTGTTAAATAGATATCCGATCCGTATAATCCGATCCGATCCGTTTTTAATTTTTTTTCCCCCCTCTCTTTCTCTCCTCTCTCTCTGTCTCACTCTCTCTCTGGTTAGCAACCATAGGCCCTACCAGTAGTAGCAAAATGATACATAATGAGAAACCCAATAAAAAAAATTACATGAAAAGTTATAATATCATAAACAATTGTCATTTTTATAAGCCTGAAATTTGAAAATAAAATTTAAAGTTAAAACATATTTACTCCAATCCAATACCAAGGATTTGCTGAACATTGCTCCAACCAGGCTTACGCCACAAATGTAAAGGACATTAAGGTCCTGTCCATCCCAGATCACAACACTGATATTTCTTTCTCAAACAGACATCTCTTTATATATATATAGAAAGGCATTTCAAGGTTAAATGAAAATTTATATTAAGAAATAATAAATAAAAGAAGTATAGGGATCTAACATTGCCATTTTCCTTCAAGGTTTCATTAGTTTCATCCACCTGTAATATCACAATAAACACATGCATAACAAAATGTCCATATGGTTATATACAAATAAAAAAACAATGTCTGATATACAAACAATTTGACCCTCTTCACATACAAACAAATATACATTAAATTTTGATCCTATAAGATTTTGACATCAAGTTCACTAAGCACAAAAGCCACCTGGATTAGATATAGCACAAAAACATTCTCAAAAGCCACCTGGATTAGATATCCCATCACCTAACACAAAGTCACACAAAAGCCCAAAGTAAAACCAAACCCAAAATGATTTGATATACAATGCATAACATCTCTGAAAACAAGAAAGTTAAACATTCTCAAAGTGAATTGTTAGGTACAAAAGACCTGCAGCTGCTGTTATATATAACATCGTTGTTACCGCACTATAACGTCTGCTCTTACAGAAAGCTTATGCAACCAGTTAAACTTTCCGGAATTGAAAAAACATTAAAACTCTTTTCAAAGTTGCTACATCTACCAAAAAACAGTATATCCAGTTTGAAGCAGGAACAATCTTCCAACCAGATCACTCAGATTCATAGATTCTGGAATACAAGGAAAACCATGAAGCTTGTATCCAAGAATTTGCTATTAGGAGGCAGTAGTCCTTGTCGATCTTTGTGGTTCAAATTCGTCAATGCATCCCAAAAGCTTCAAAGATAACCAACGACAGGCAAGATTCTGTGAACTTAAAGAGCATCATAATGACGTAAACATTCAAAGGTAGAAAACAAATTATCAATTAGAGATGTTATAAAAGTGCATATAAACAATTTAACCACATTTCCAAGAAGAAAAGTTATGTAACCACATTTCACCACAAGCAGTTCTAGTAAGAGAGAGAGCAAATAAATTGTATAGAGGAGAGATAATTAAAGCTATATACTCACGATTCTTCCAAGTCAATAACTTTAATAGCAACCGCTTTGTTAAGCTCATTATCAAACCTGCAAATCAAGAAAGCTATTACCTTAATATGCAAACAGATTATCAAATTATGTCAAATACGAATTTCATTGATCACTATAAAGGCATGGGACAAGCCCCATAATCTGAACCATATTTACCCATCTACTTCAAGTGATTCGATTCAATTCAATCCATCTACTCATGTCTGCATTCTTCTACATCTGCAATTTGAAAATAATGTGACATTAAGATATTCATAGAACTAAACTAAATAACATCTAATTATTTAAAAATTTCAATATTTCACTTACTTCTATTTTTGGTTGATTCAATCCAATCATTGCAAGTGATCAAGGCCTCCACAATATCTGGAAGTAATGAAGCACGTGTCTCATCAATCACCCTACCTCCTACACTAAACGCCGCCTCTGATGCAACCGTAGTAGCAGGAACACTTAAAACATCACGAGCTATCCTTGCCAAAGTAGGAAATTTTGCTTTATTCACTTTCCACCAATGTAGAATATTGAAGCTCTCATTACTTGGAAACACCAACTCCTCCAAGTATTGCTCCACCTCTGATTTTTGATAGGCATGAATGTTAGAAGCACGTTCTTGGGCATACCACGCATGAAAAGCAGCCAAACTTTCTTGTTTCGAAGAACCGACAAGCAACTGACTACCACTTGAGCTACTATTTTCAGAAACAAGTGCAATGCTACTCATAGAATCAGAAGAATCACTCCTATACTCATAAAAAAGATCAACAAAACCATTACGGACCCTCTGAATATGCTTATTAGCATCAACACCATAAATAAGCCCAAAGTAGTATTCCACCAAGTCCATTTTAAATCTCGGATCAAGAACCACTGCAATTGCTAACACCAAAGAACATTCTTCCCAATATTTTTGAAATTTCACTCTCATTGGACCGGCCATCAATCGAATGCAATCATACTCACTTTGCTCCCATTTTTTCATTTCAAGTTGAATAAGACAAATATCGGGAAAAAACACATTTGAAGTCGGAAAAGTGGTACCACTAAAGTGAGATCAAAAAAAATCTTCAAGCACCCACAAATCACATTTGCTACATTCCACTCATCCTCAGAAGGATTGTGCTTATATTGTTTGTCAATTTGCCCTAAGCGGTGGAATGCACTTTTCAAATCTAATGCAGCTTCAAGCATTGAATAAGTGGAGTTCCATCTGGTAGGAACATCCATGGGGACTTTCTTTTTATGATGTAACTTAACATGATTCACTGCAACATCAAATTTTTGTTTTCCATAAGGAGACCTCCCTAAATATCTCACACTTTCTCGGATTTTTGAAATAAGACTCCCAATCACCTTCAAACCATCCTGAACAACTAAATTCAATATGTGCGCGCTACAACGCACATGAAACAATTGTCCACCCAAATGTAGTAATCCTTGGTCATGTAGCCATCGCTTTAAGAGTCTCACCATGACATCATTACTCGTTGCATTATCGACTACCATTGAAAATAACTTCTTATCTATGTTCCACTCTAAAATTAGATCTTTGATAAAACTAAACAAATGGTCTCCATCATGCGGGTAATCAATGCGTCTATAAGCAAGGATTTTCTTCTTCAACTCCCAATCATTAGTCACATAATGAGCAGTCAAACATGTATAGGCAAAATTCTGATGGTCTGAAGTCCATATATCAGTTGTCAAGGTGATCTTAGAAGAGAGTTCATCCAAAAATTGATATAACTTGGCCTTTTCTATTTCATAAACATCAAGGACATCCGCCCTAACAGTGTTACGAGAAACAAGTTTGAACATTGGTTGAAGATTATTACAAAATATTTCAAAAAATTCATGCTCAACCATGTTAAAAGGATAATTGTGCTTGATTACCATCCTAGAAAAATCCATACGACTTCTCTCTTGATCGAATTTAAAATTTGCAGCCTTAGGAGTAGATTCAGAAGCAGCCTTACTAGCAATCCTAGGGGCATTTGGCTCTTTAAGTACTGGACATGTCTTCGACAAATGATTTTTTAAATGACTAGTCCCTTTCCTACTCTCTCCAACAAATTCCCTATTGCAATGCTTACATCTAGCTATGTCATTTCCATTAGGTCCTTTAAATTTGATAAAGTCATCCCATACCTTTGAAGTTAGTTTTCGAATCCTCTTTGTGGGTCCTTGAGATACATCGTCATCCAACTCGGCATCATCAGCAGTAATAGGTTCGCTATAATCCGAAGACATCTTTGGCTCTAAAACTCAAATATGCACTACACAAGAAATCAAACATAAAGGAGCTATCCCATTACTAAGTCTTTGCAGACGATTGTAGTGAAAAGATAAGCAGACATGTTTGTAGAGGATTGTAGTGAAAAGATAAGCTATCCCATGAATCTAACATAGAAGAGAAATTTTAGAATCAAGATGAATTTATGAAAATAGATTAAAATATAAAATTGATTATAACTAAAAAAAGAGAAAAATGATAGAAATTCCAAATGTTTTACTAATATTTCTACTAAATATCTCACATGAGTTTGAAATCCAACACCATATTGGTCCTATGTAGGTCCGATATCCATGTGAGATATTTGGTAAAAATATTGATAAAACATTTAAAATCAATAACCTTATTAAAAAAAAATGACATTACTAAAAGGTGCATATGGCACCTCCTTTTCAAATGTATGTATATTAGAATCTCCCCTGAATTTAACGTTTAAACGTTTAAACAATGTAAGAGTTTCTCCAGTGGGTTGGTATAGTGGCTGCCATTTCCAAAAAATATAGCAATTTGGGCAAGATTGCCTTCTCCAATGACATGTTAAAAGCAACTTTAACGGTGTGAAATTATAGTTATTATTGCCGATCGTTTGGCTAGTCAACCTTCCGATTGTCTGATCGGTTGTTTGGTTAAATTAAAAAATAACAATTTCACCGTTAGAATAACATTACTATTCTATAACTTTTTTGTACTGGTCATTGCTAAATTATAACATTAGCTATCCTTTCTACCACTTGATCATTGGCATTGCTCTAAAAAGCCTACTATATTAAAACAATATCAAAACTTCCACATCACCATCCCCAACTGCATTTCTTCCCTCCATCCCTTTCCTAATAAAATCCCCCAAACAGAAAATGAAAGACAAGAAACAATTTGAACAAAATATATAACACCCCCCCCCCCCAAAAAAAAAAAAACCAAACAAATTTCAAAAATAGTGGATTTAAAAAACAAATAAAAAAATTTAAACCCACTTTTTTTTGTGTGGTGTTGTACCGAGTGACCCCCTAACCTCTCTTCACTGTCTCCCACTCATTCTTCCTCTCCATCTTCCGCCCTTTCTCTCTCTAATCTCTCCAGAAAGGTCTTCTTCAAATTGCTCACTTTGAAAAATTATTCAGCAAAAAAAATTGATTTTAACTAATAAAATACTTTAAAATCCTTCAAAAAATTGAACCAAAAGTTCTTCACTTTGATCAATGAAGAATTAATCATGAATCTATTTAGCAAAAATCAATAAAAAGAAACAATAAATTCACGGTCTCCTTTGATCTTGTTCAATATTGTAACAAAACCCAACTCTCATTGACAGAGGAAGAGAGGAAGCCGACGAATAGAATAACAGAGGAAGAGGGGAAAGCCCAAACCCAACTCTCCTTGACGGAGGAAGAGAGAGATGATCAGATCGGCAACAAAAATAGATCGGCAAAGTAGAGAGCTGATTACGATTAAAATCAGATACGGGTAAGCAAAGTGGAGAGCTGATTACGATTTGCTTTCAAGCATCAGATCGGCAACAAAAACAGAAACGGGACAGAGACCCAACAAAAAAAATAAAAAATAAAAAAGAGTAGAGAGCTGATCTCTTACAATTCGTAGCTCCGATCTGACAAGATTTGGACTTCGTTCTTTGAAATTGAGCGTTATGAATCCAATCGGAGCAGAGAGCTCGATTTGGCTAGGTTTATCGTCATCAATCGGAGCATTTTCAGATGATGAGAGAGAGATTTGATCTTCAGACGATGAACTTCAACAACATAACGCACTTTTCAGACGATGAGAGAGATCTGTTTATGAGAGATCTGATTTCAATGGAATCGGATTAGGCAAACAAACGGATTGGATCGGATTTATCCGAGTCTGACCCGTTTAAAATCAGGCTACACAGATACGGGTTAAACAGATATTCAAATTCGGATTTGCATAAATGGACCGGATTAATCGGATCGGATTAGGGTTATACCCGATCCGTTGACAGGCCTATATCTATCTATGTATTTGCCTTCAAACACTTGATTTGGGGATTCATTTCGTGGCTATCTCCTGGAGAGGGTAAGAAAATAAGGGAAGAAAGAAGAAAAGGGGAAAGCAACAAGGAGGTGAGTTAGGGCAAAATTAGAAGGGTTTGAAGAGAAATTGAAGCTCAAGGTATGGGTGATTTACTTTCATTAACTCCTCTCTTGTTAAGGGGTAAAGAATTTCTTGGATATCAAACAAATTAAGGTTGTGTATGTGTGTGTATGGCACCCAAAGAATCGAAGAAGTGTTTCTTCATGTTGTTGATGTGTTGCTTTGAACCTTGTAAGGGAATTTATATTTTATTCGTCCTTGATATACTTGAACAACAAGATATGAACATGGCTATGTATGTAAAATCAAGTTTTGTTTATGGGTTATGAAGTAAAGATCTAGTTCATGTCCACATGGATTGTGATTATGTTTGTAGGTGATTTTTAAGCTTTATTCTTGTGTGAAATTCATCTAAGTGGAATCATTTCTATGTATTGGCCAAGGTAGATTTTATTTGAACTTGAATTCAAGGATGGAAATTGAAAAAGTTGTGACTTGATTAAGCTTCTAATCATGTGTATTTTGTGTTGCTCAAGTTCTAATTCATGCTATGGTGATATTAGGTTAATATATTGCATGAATTTCATCTTGGTTTGCATATAAATTGACTTGGTGATGTTGAAATTCGATTTGGAACCGAGCTGCCCCAAAACAGGGGTCACCACCGCAAGTGCGGAGGTCATGGCCGCACGTGCGGCCAAAGAAGAAAAAACTGGGAAGGCATACTGTCTACGGCCGCTCGAGCGGAGGGGGAGGACCGCACGTGCAGTGCATGGCCACTCGAGCGGAGGGTCCGGCCGCACGTGTAGCCTGGGCTGGAAAAGTGGTTCGCTTAGTTTTGCAAGCTTGACTCTCTGGTATTTTTAGAATATTTTTCTGATGAACTTAAGATGGTTGTAAATTCATGCAAAGTGTAAAGATTCAGGAAATGATTTAACAAAGAAAAGGGAACTAATGTGCAAGTTTTGCGTGTGTGCAAGACACACTCCGGGAGGAAGTAACACGTCATCTCAACACTGTGAGTAATAGTACTGAAATGTACATTTTATCTACCATTGATAATTATTGTCACTGACGTTCTGTTCCTCGTAAGTGTTATACGAATAGTTATGACGATTGGAAATCAACGTGAATGTTGAAAGATTGGCACATATCAGTATGACTTTGCAATCATTCTATTCTGTCAATAACGAATATGTCGCCTATGAAACCTAGATTGTACAGATCCTAAGACATGTATGCAAGGGTTTAATGTTACAATGTGACCACGTTAGCATGTAAATTGGTCTATCCTTATTAAATGTAATGGAATGACATATATGCCTCTATTAATGGTACATTTGCCTTTGATCCTCATTAATGTTATGCATTGCTATTTACGACACGACCATGTTACTAGTTAATACGAACATTCTGTTATCTATGAACTAGTGGCATGAATTCACGACAAACAAATGGGATGTGAATGCATTATAAAGTTCAATCTGTTAATAGCTGTTGTTAGCACTCTGTTGAACGTAACGTAACTATGTTAACTCATGTGAATAATGAGAAGGAACTATGTGCTTCTGTATGAACTATTAGGCCAGAGGCCATTATGTATTTTTGATATGGAACAAAGTGCTGTACGGAGCTAAGTGCTACACTTTGGTGGGAGCCACCTCTAGAATCCGTACGAGCCACCTCTTGAGTCCATACATATATAAACTGGGCTTAAAGCCAATGTGAAAGTTATGAGGCCTATGGCCGTTCTGTGAAAATTATGAGGCCTATGGCCGTTCTGTCTGATCTGTTAGTATGAAACAAAGTGTTGTACGGAGCTAAGTGCTACACTTTGGTGGGAGCCACCTCTAGAATCCGTACGAGCCACATCTTGAGTTCATACGTACATGAAAAGGGTTATATGCCATTCTGGGCTTAATGTCGTTCTGTTTATGGCTATATGCCATTTTGGACTTAAAGCCGTTCTGTTTATGGCTATATGCCACTCTGGGCTTAATGCCGTTCTGTTTATGGCTATATGCCATTCTGGGCTTAATGCCGTTCTATTTAAGGGCCAATTTGTGAAATTATGAATATTTGTGAAGTTGTGAATTTATGAGGCCGAGGGCTGATTTGTGAAGTTAAGAATCCACTAGGCCAAGGGCCCATGTGTGAATGTGTGAACCATTGGGTCGAGGGCCAATCTGTGAATTGTGAACCAACAAGGCCATTCTAAACTTAAGACAGAATCAAATTAATCATATGCTCTCTTTATTTATATAAGCATTGATACGTATCATAATTCAAGTTAAGCATTGAATTGTTTAAGTACTATTATTCACTGAGATTGTCTCACTCTGTATGTTGTTTGTTTCTGTAGGTAGCAAGTCTGGAGGTCAGCCTTAACCCTCGATGCTCGCCTACCTTTCACCCAACTTTGTGTGTCTAGGCATTTGGGTGAAGCCTGATCATTTCTTGGGAACTTTGCTAAGTTTTAGCTTGCACTCTGATTGTCTATTATATGTTATGTTTTCAATGTTTTTGTTATACACCCAACAAGGGGCGGGCTTTGTATATGTGTATGTAAATATTTATCATGTGATGCACTGTTGGTGATCCTGGCATGATAGTGGTCGCTTAATTTATATAGTTCTTTTTATTTCATGTTATTTTATTATTACTTAATGCTTCCGTTCAGGCCCCGTATGTAATGTATACCAGGTTAAGTGTCCGTTTTTGAGTGGGTCATGCCCAAACTTTTAGGGGCGAGTTTGGGGCGTGACACATTTACTGGGAATTTACAGGGAATTTACAAAGAAACTTACTAAGAATTTAAAGGGAATGTACTGATTAATTTACTAGGAATTTACAAAATAATTTTCTAAGAATATACTGAGAATTTACT